GGAGCATAAGCTTTCGTGGGTAAGAACCTCACTTCTTCAGATGCATCTGAAGAAGTGAGGTTCTTACCCACGAAAGCTTATGCTCCCAGTACTTCTGTTAGTCTCAAAGGTGCCACAGGATCTTCTGTTGCTTTTTATGGAAAATTAAGGATCCCCCGCCATCCCCAATGCAATACATAATTTTTGGTGAACAACAGAACTGCCTTCCAAGCTTTCTCTGTTGTGATGACTGAATATATGGAGCCAATTCTTGGTCCCAATGAAGTCAATGAGCGTTTTTCCACTGACTTCAGTGAGATCCAAGCCTAGCTCTTAGGACCTGATCCAAAGGCCTTTGCAACCAGTGGGTGGTTTTCTTTTACCTAGATCAGGGCCTTCAGGGTGGTAGGGATGTGTGTTTATGGCAGGTGCATTCTCTGTGCAGGATAGGACATTAATAACATTTTATGTCTCTGAAAAGTGTTTTATATGTTTTTTGGAAGCACATAGTGACTCCTACAGTTTGATAGTTATCATATTAGCTAATGAATCAAAGCATTATTTACATATATTTGGAATACATCAAAATACACTGCTGAGAACATGGAAAAGAATTGTTTAAGATTTGCAGTCCCGAATGATACTGCAGGTGTCCCTGCAGCAATTATTTTGATGTAAATAGTGTTGGTAACAAGTTCAAATCAGTTATTCTGGATTAGATGCCACTATAAACTTGGTTACTAAGAACAGACAAAGAAAAAACAACTAACTTTGCTTCCTCACTTAACTAACTCACTATTCACTTCATCCATTCATTGTGCTTCACTCTATTTTTCATAGTATATCTGAATATAATTTTGCAGTGCTGCCCAACTACATGAAAGATAGCTGGCCTAGCTTCTACATGGGAGATGTTTAGTTTACGAAACTTCAACGGGAAATATCAGGAATCTCATGTTTTAGCTGCTTCTATGAACTTTTCTATAGTGCAGTAGTGCCCGGAGTCCCTGTTTAGAATGGGGACCCCATTGTGCTTTATACCATACAAACACATATGAAGATGGGGCAATGGAGGTATGACAATTTGTCTTAGCCTCAGTTTAAAATCTAATACAATTCATTTGATCAGAGTGGTTAAAAAAAAGGCAGAGATACTGGAAGCTTGTGGTCCTCGTCTCTAATCTGGGATGAGTTTAGTTTAGGTACTTGTGCCTCACTCACTACATGGATAATAAAAAAACACGGATAACATGGATAATAAAAAAAACATGGATAATAAAAAAAACAGGACATAACTCATTCTGCATCTGAGCTGTGTTTTTGTAGGTAAATACATTAAATGGAGAAAAAAAACATTTTGCCACTCACACTGTGGCTGTGATTTAACTTGCTAGATACTAATGTCCTTGATGGCATTACTCAGAGCTTCTTGGTCAGACTTGTCAATATTGACTATGATGCTGTGTCTCCAGCTTCTGTGTTAAAATGGAAATTATTAAAATCTAGTCAAAGACTAGGACTCGCTATCATGGAATCTGTAAATCTTGGCATCACACCAGGCTCACCACGTGTACAAAAGTTTGAATAGTGAGAGATTGGGAGCTATTTTGTGACATATAGTGATGTGACAAGATCTGTCGCTGTAGAAGACTAAATATTTATACAACAGCTAAACCTTTCTTGGTTTTATTTCTTTTTAACTATATGTATATATGTTACTAAATTTTGTTAATACAGCTAGCGAGTCTAAGTTGGCAGATCATTTATTTTCTTAACGAGAGCTGTTTGAACCAATCAAGGCACAGATTATCTTATTATACCAGTCAGACCTCATGTTACTTTTGATAAGATTCTAGAGAAGTCATGCGTAATACTTTTCTGTGGGGTGGAGTCTGCTTATGTTACAGTTGTACGAGGTCAGACCTTAATTTAACTCCCAACTGCATACTTAATTTTAGAAATACCACAAGACACACCAGCGTGCAGGGTACTATTCCTGTCTGTTCAAAATACAGGCCCCAGAGTAACAATGACAAGATGATGGGTTGAAAAGGTGAGAATATAATATGTTTTATCTGTATCTTGCCAATTAGCCTATAGCGAAGTAGATTAAAATTGTGAATAATGTGTAACTGCGTGAATCCAGATTTAAACTGCTATTAAATTACTGTATTGCTGTGAATAAAGTCTTCAGGCTTGGATACCTAAAGGCCTTCCAGTTATAGAGAACAAAGTTAGGACTGCTTAGTTTATTTCAAAAATACGAAATCAGATTAATATGTCTCGCTCGCATAGCACTAAACATCTGCCTGATATGCTTAATAGTAATAAATCCTTGACACATCTGTTTCTAAGCAAAGACTCAATTTCCATGATTTGTGAGTATTTCAAATCTTTTGGACTGAAAGAGAGTGGCTTAAAGTGGAACAAATTATTTTCTATGAAAATTGATCCTTCAGGTTTAAGATGCATAAATACTCAAAAATTAAAAAATCCACACTAATCAGTAGTTTCTTGGGAACTCGTTTTTTCAGGATAAAATAAAAATGAAACAATTCAGTCTATTAAAAAAATCTGGAAAATATTCTTGATCTTATGAACACTACTATGTCTGTGCCTTAACAATAGTATTTTTTAGAAAAAGCAACTACCGTCTCATCTAGCAATGAGCTTGGTCTGAAAAATGAACAAATTTTCCATGGGTGAAGGAAAGGGAATTTGCCGCTGCATCTTTTAACGGCCTCTTTGCTACTTTAGATACAAGTATATCAGAGAAAATATTCTTCTCGTCCTGCCCAATGTACCATTGTTTAGCCATATTCCATTGTGATCCTAGTGGAATATTCACACTTCAACAGATCGTCATCATCAGCATCTGACCAGCAGTGATATAGCAAATCAGGCACCCAAAGCATTTATAAACCTCCGTCAATGTCCACCACATGCACTTTAGTGAGTTATTTACTTTATCATACTTGTTCTACCATGTCACAGCCTCGTGGCCACTGCAATAGCTTTTTCCATTTTATTATTAATTATCATCATCATAATCTCATACAGGATAAGTGATAATGTCTAGAAAGACACTTCGGAGAAAATACATACCAAAACCACCGCTTACCTGACCCCAGGTAGGCTGAGTCTGTGGTCCAGCAGAGTTCTGTGGTGACTGTGAATTCTGAGAAATCACAGCAGAAGAGAAGTCTATTGTCCAAGCAGGTATTGACCTTGTGGGTCTAGAAAGAAAAAATATCTAATTTTATAATAATTTTAAGTCCCCGCTTAGCTTTTCTTTTAGTGCTGAGGTTGGTTTGGCCATGCATCATATTTTTCTGAAGTGAATGGAATTTTTGTTATGTTTTATTAAATTATTTGTATTTCTACAATGTGTGAAAATCCTGATCCTGCCAGGTAGTGAGTGGTCTCAGTTCCCTTTGGAGTCAATGGGAGTTGAGGGTACTCAGTACCTTGCGTGATTGAGCTCTACATGAACATCTACCCTACATAAATTGTACCAAACCACTGATAGGGTTCCTGTTCAAGGCGCTTTCTATCTATGGGCCTGATCCAAAGCCCACTGAAGTCAATGAGAGTTTTTCCATTAACTTCAGTGGGCTTTGATTCAGGCTCTAAAGGTATAAGGGAATAGAGATGGTCAGGAATTTTTTGACCAAATGTTTTTTGTGAGAAAATGCCAATTGATCAAAACAAACTTTTCAAGGTAATGTATCAGTTTTGACAAAAGGTTTTCAGATCTAGGATGGAATTTCTGTATGTGTAAGGGGGGAAGGAAGAGAGACCGAGAGACCCCCTCCACCACCATCACCACGACAAGAACAGCCAATAGCCAAGGTCATTCACTTGGGGCATAGGAGACCCAGGTTCAAGTCCTTGTTCCAAATCAGGCAGAGTAGTGGGTATAAAGCCTGTTCATACAGATTTGATATAGCTAGATTGCTTCATAGGCAGGTGGATTTTCAGAAGCCTACCCATCCATGGTGGAGTCTATTCCAAGTGTAGGGAAAAGTGTGAAGGAAGGCACAACATGTTATATTACAGCCTAGTGTACTTATAGCACCACTGAACTGTTCTGGTTGGAAGCCAGAACTGATGAATACCATTCATTTTCTTATATTACATCTATAGAAACACCTGTGCTAAATAACTACTTGGCTTCATTGTGAGAATTCCACGTGCACTTGCTCTAAAAACTTCTCATTTTTTAGCTGTGTGTGTAGGTGGGGATAAGGTAGAGTTGTGTGCTTTGGGATATACTCTATAAATTACTGGTTCAGTACTTTTTAAAGACTCCCTGCCCCCACTGCTTGCAAGGTATAGCTGTCCTTTACATAACAGTGTACATTTGTTGGTTTCTTTGTATTAGTTGACACATTTCAATGAGGCAAAAGGGATTTTTTAGATGCCATTGAAAGTATAGAAGTAGATGTAAAGATGAGGAGAAAAATAAACCGAGGAGAGAACTTCAAATCAAGGATTCTCCTATATGCCAACCAAGTGTACTTCCAACAGGATGGGATGAAAGGCAGAAGTTCAGTCTTAACTTTGAATATTCTTGCTTTTGTGCATTTAAGTCAGGCTGCCAACTTTTAATGCTATTTGAAAATGTCTGTGTGATTTAATTTATAATGCATTTACCTTGAGGTGCTCTTCCACATATTGACATATTTATGGATTCCTTAATAAGAGCCTGGGGAAGAGATTTGGAAAATACACTGTCAGTCACTTTACTTTGTAGGCTTAAAAAAATCCTTTGTACTACCCTCTTTAAAGTTCAACATTGAATTTCTTCCTCTTTTGCCTAACAAAGCCTGGAAAATGTCAGAAAAAATATTTGTCTACCTTTTTCTTTTGTGCGGGATCAAACTCCAAAGGCTTTGATAAACCTTTTTACATTGTGAGGAGTTTCACAACTTCTCTGGAATTCTTCTGTGATTAACAGTATGGAAGTGTTTATATTGCATTAGTCCTTCCAAGAATCTTGGTCAAAATTCTCGAATCTTTACAGTCATCCTTGTTTGCACAGGGAGTGAGCCTAGGACTTCAGGATTTGACTGCTTGAACAGAAATGTTACAAACAGTACCTTTTGCTCTTGGTTCAGCCTGTCAATGGTGTGAAGGGCCTTGGAACATGATTCTGTACCCTGCTGACCAGTTCATCAGATATTCAGCTGGTGTGTGAAATCTTTTTTTAAATAACCACATTGAAGCCTGGCTCTGAGACACAAAAGCAGGGGGAGGAGACTCCATTAGAATATCCCTGTCTTTTATGAGCTACATAAAGTCTGCTGAGCAGGAAAAAAAAAGATGTATGTGTCCGTAAAAGCAATTTTTTATTTTTGGAAGTTATTGCTGTCAGAGCTGGCAGTCAAAGCAAAAGATGTGTATGTTTACCTTTAAAGGCAATGGGGCTGTGGTGGTGTTTCACTTGCCTTCAGAGAGCCCACCCTCATGGGTGACAGTGTTGGCCAAGAGCCTTATGTCTGAGCATTGGGAGAGGTGTGAATTCATGCTCAGTGCTAGCGTGATAGTATTGCAAAAGCCTGAAATTGGAGTCCTGCAATGACACTTTTAGCTTCTGAGTCATCTTGACTATATGCCATTATTGATCAGTTTTTGTTTCCTCGGGTCTATCAAAATATGATAAATAGTAAAACATTTAGATATGGGATTGCAGCACTTGTGTATGATGTTTTAAAATCAATTTTTAGTTTAGTGCTACAATGCAAAACATCCGGTGCATAGATGCCAGGTTAGCACTTCATGTGTGAAGAACTGCTTTAAAAAGTGACCTACAAATCCTTCTGACAAAATTCCAGCCACATTAGCAATATGCTGGATCTCCCCCATGGCCATTCTAGGAAAGGTAGTCAACATAATGCTCATTTAATTTGATTGATTAATTTTTGTGCAGCACTGACAAAAGTAAGGCACTTTGAGAGTGCTAATTGGTAGGAGTGGTAGTTTAAGTTCCATAAATTCTAGTCTCTCTTAGCTAGGCCCCACTAATATAAAGACCAAACATGCCCTAAGCTGTTGATGTCAAAAAAAAGGGGGGGGGGAATGGAGAATAAGACGGAGACTATCTTATTGCCCTTATATAAATCCATGGTACACCCACATCTTGAATCTGCATACAGATGTGCTCTCCTCTTCTCAAAAAAGATATACTGGCATTAGAAAAGGTTCAGAGAAGTGCAACTAAAATGATTAGGGGTTTGGAATGGGTCCCATATGAGGAGAGATTAAAGAGGCTAGGACTTTTCACCTTGGAAAAGAGGAGACTAAGGGGGGATATGATAGAAGTATATAAAATCATGAGTGGTGTGGAGAAAGTGAATAAGGAAAAGTTATTTACTTGTTCCCATAATATAAGAACTAGGGGTCACTAAATGAAATTAATGGGCAGCAGGTTTAAGACAAATAAAAGGAAGTTCTTCTTCACACAGCGCACAGTCAACCTGTGGAACTCCTTGCCTGAGGAGGTTGTGACACAAAGTTGGGGGGTATTGCCAATTCGGAGAAGGATCGGGATATCCTGCAGGGAGACTTGGATGACCTTGTAAATTGGAGTAATAGTAATAGGATGAAATTTAATAGTAAAAAGTGTAAGGTGATGCATTTAGGGATGACTAACAAGAATTTTAGTTATGAGCTGGGGACGCATCGGTTGGAAATAACGGAGGAGGAGAAGGACCTCGGAGTCCTGGTTGACCGCAGGATGACTATGACTTGGCAATGTGACGTGGCCGTGAAAAAAG